ATCCTTATCCCCGTTACAAAAATCTACAAATATATATATATATATATATTTGGGCAGAAACTGAACATATGCTGGATGATGGTGGGATTTTTTTAATATGTCATATTAAATTAAGCGGTCACAGGGTTTATACAGGAATGAGTGACTCTAATTTAATGCTATTTAAATGCTATTAGAAATGATTTTAATGCCATCAACAAGAACCATGTACACAAGTTATTAGTGTACATGAAATATGAAGGAGCTGTAAGCACAGCTCCATGACTCCTGTATGTATGTAAACACACACACACACACACACATACGTATATATATATATCCTCTAGGTTGTTCTCCGCCTCGAGCTTCCTTTCCGAACTTACGGCTTAATGATCAGTTACACGCAAATTAATAGCGATATAATATATCTGACGAAATTGTTTTTATAAACATTTTTATTAAAGAATCATAAATGCCACGATGAACATATTTAATTAATTTTAGTGCCAATTAAGGCCTGATTTAAAAAAAGAATTATGAATTGGAATTATTTTTAATGATCCGCGGAAACCCTGGTTCATCTCGCGCATGCCCCACGATCTCCAAGGAACTCAGAGCGGAGGGGACGGGAGCCACAGCGGCGGCTGTAGGCTTTGCTTTGTGCAGGCGGTCTGGAGCGCAGCGGGGCGGAGCGGAGCGCTGACGGAGTATGTGGGATTTCAGGGTAAGTCAAAAGTTATGGAGCTTCATGACTTAATGGATATTTTCATCAAAAGCAATTTGAGTTTCACTTTTGTTTTTCCAAAAAAAAAAACTATGTTTGGAAACTGTTTTGTTTACCCAAGTCATTTAAGTGAAATTCATGTACAGCCTCCCTATTATTTAGATGAATAAAGACAACTAATTTAAATCATTCTGCAGCATATGCCATGGTTCTGGTTCTGTTTTTGATTGCATTTGAGTTCTTAGATATTTCTGTTTGCCCTCGTGTGTCAGTCACCGTTTCTCTAGCTCCCTTCTTGCCTCTGTTCACACCTGCTCCCAATCTGCTAATTAGCCTGGTCTTTGTTTCTCTCTGCCATATATGCTCCTCCTATTCAGTCACTCTTTGCTGGTTTGCCGTTATTTCTTTGCCCCCTTTTTCTGAGTAGTCCTGGTTTTCAGTAGTTTTTGGATTTTTGCAGATTCATGTTTTTTTGGGATTTTTGCTGCCTTTACCCTTTTTGTTATTAAAATCTGCGAGTAACAACCTTAAAGCTTTTGTGTCCGCATTTGGGACCTGTCAAACCTCCCCCACTGTTACAGCATATGTATGTAGCATATGTACGTATGTACATACATCAACCCGGAAAGATTTACACAAGCACACACAGAAGAAATATGGCAATTAGGGAGTTTTAATTGATGATCAGAAAGCATTGTAAACTTTTTTTGTAACTACATACTTCAGTGTCATCATTCAGCATAACACTAGAATCAATTATATTGATTTCTACAATTTAACTTGTGAATATACACTTTCTTCAGTCTTCGGTTCCCCTTTCTTCTTTCTTTTTTGCTCCTTCCCTCCAGAGAAATGCAATGCAGCATAATTTAGATCCTGCCCATTTTCACTCTGTGAATAAAAAATATATATATATTTATTTAAAATTTTTCGATTAGCATCCCAGTCAGACAGTTATTATATATATTATTTACTCACCTCATCTATTGGGAATCTTAAGTCGGTGTGTTTTGGTTGAGAAGAGAGACTCTCTGTAAAGACAGAACACAGTACTGTAATGTGATTGAATTTAATGTCTTACTCAGAAACTGTTATGGCTTAAAAAGTGTTCAGTTTATTTCTGACACCTACCTTTAAATCGATTACCTCCTGATCTTTTAATTTGATAACAAAGAAAAATAATATTCAAAGTCACTGAAATGGCCAAGCAGACCAATGTGATAATGAATACACTCCTTTCAGTAATTGATGTTTTATCTAAAAAAAAAAAAAAAGAAATATCAGAAAGGCAATTTTTTTTATAACATAAATAACATGAATCACATTACCTTGATTGCTCTTTACTATGTTTGCTCCGTTTCCAAATAATACTTCTCCACATGTAGCCACAGCACAGTAAAAGGTGTCCGATTCAGAGGAGGTGACATTCTTAGAGAAGTTGTAACTACATTTCTTCTGATTGTTTGATGTCTTTTTGCAATTTTTATTCATTTTTTCCTCAGTGTAGATGATATCTGGATTGGATGTGTCTGATCTAGCTCTTAACCAGAAAACACTAGGTTCACCGGAACAGGTTGAATTCTCGGATTCAGACAGGACTAAACACTGCAGAGTCTTTGGACTTGTTGGACGAGTGGGATCAGAAACTGTTTGCTCCTGAACAATAGTGTAGCTTGAAGTCCTCTGAGAGTTTCCTATGAAGAAATTAAAGAAAAATAAAATAACTTTAAACCATTTTTATATAAGCTGTCCTAAAAGTATTTAATCA